CCGAGTGAAACGGGTTCAAATCCCGGGTCTCGCACCTCTGATATTTTCATGTCCGAATCATTTCTAACATGATTACCACTTGCCTTACGGTGAAGGAAAAACATCGTGAGGAAACCTGCATGTTTGAGAGAACCTAGCAAGTTTTCGAAAGACATGTGAAGTCCGCCAACCCGCACTTGGCCAGCGTGGTGGACTATGGCCTGATCCCCCTCATATGGAAGGGAGGCCCGAACCCAGCAGTGGGACGTCAAAACGGGCTGAATACATACATAGTGTGTATAACATATGGGCTTAAAACAACGAAAGCACGTTAAAATGAAAGGTAAGAGCTTCAATTTCCTTTCTAAGTAGGTTTAATTCTTGTCATCAAATTAATCGAAATGGTATCAGTTTTCCTAACTCATTATATATAATAAGACAAAAATTGTGAAGCAATACGTCCATGTATCCGCTTCTTATCATAGCGCAATTTATGTTCTATGCCCCATTATTTATTATTCCAATGAAAAATGAAACGAATATAATAGACATAAGCTTTACTGATATCCAATATCCTTATAAGAATAATTTGTGAAAAGGATTTTTTATTTGAACGTAACTATCTACTTTGCCTTTTGTAATTGAAGATTTTTTAATATAATACAGCATGTAACCTTTACCATTAATTAAATCCATACTATTAAAAATAACAATTTTTAATTGAAAATTAAAAAAAACAACTAACTTAGACAAAGGGTCTAATATAGTACCTAAGTAGGTAACAAGGTTGTCATAACGTTTATAGTATACTAGCAGAACCCGCGGCTTCGCTCGCGCTAAAACTACGAAAAATCTTTAAAAAGGTAGTTTCATACAACCGTTCGTCCCCTATCTTACCCTCTTATGGGATGAATTTCGAAAAATGCTAAAACACGTATTTATTTAATTGTATTGAAGAGCATTAATACCAAGTTTCAAGTAATTCTAATCATAAATAATTTTTGGGTTATATTATAACGTGTTTTACCGTGGGAATGAGATTATCTACCGCGGTAAAAAGTAGCCTATGTCACTCTCCAGCCCTCCAACTATCTCCACACAAAAACATTCAATTCGTCACTCGAACGTGAAAGAAAAACAAACAAACAAACAAACAGGCTTTCTCATTTATAATATTAGTATGGATTTATTTCGGTTCAATGCTCTTACATGTCGCTAAATTCACAAAGAATGAAAAAGCCAAGGCAGGTAAGTTGTAATTTCCATATAATATTGTCACCAAGTGCAATAGTAAATTTATTACCCGATTACAGGGAAACCCAAAGGGGTTATACGTTTGAACTATATGTACGGGTACGAATGACAATATGATAGTAATTAGTATAGTAGCGCATCTGGCTAGTCTCAATGAGATTAGCTGATTTGGCTGAAATGAGTCGGGAGGACATTAATACTATTTTATTTCGTTAACTGGTTTGTATCTTGATAATTTATGTTTTTTGTAGGTTTGGTAGCTAGTATTAGCTAATAACAAGGATTTTGATCTAGTGTTTAGTTACGGCTTTGTCAATGCTTCTAAAATTGCAGTGAATTAACAATTATCTATGTGTCTTCGAACATATTAATATTCCTTATGAGTATATACTATATAGCCAATAGACTTCATATTTAGTTAGTTCAAATATTAGTTGCAATTTTTTGAATATTTAATATTGTAATTGCTAACATTAATTATATTGTAATAAATCATTACAATTAGGGACAAAAACTAACAGAGAATAGAAAATTGTAAGGGGAAGAAGGGGACGAAGTAATTTTAGTATAAAAATTACGTGATATTTGACGTCACCAACTAAAATTACTTGTTGTTCTAAAAGTACAAAAGTATAATATTTCAGATGATTAACTACATGTTCGTGTTGTCATTTCATTTATATTATTTTTTTTACTGAAATATCAGGAGTGAGACTACGGTAGATAAGTATGATAAAAGTATTTTTGATTTATGATTTGATTTGCGAACACATAATAATAAAATTATAAGCTCGACTATAAAAGAAACTACATATTTATTATACTCCTTCAAAATGTCTGTCTGTCTGTCAGTCATTACGAGAAAACCACTGAACAGATTTTGATGAAATTTGGTATGATGATAGCTGATTATCCGGGTCAACATATAGAGTAAATGAATCGCTGAATGTGTTGCTAAGCGGAAATCTCGAGAGCAGCTCAACCGATTTCGCGAATTCTTATTTAAGAATATTCCTTGAAGTACGAGGATGGTTCCTACGGAGAAAAAAATTTAAAAAAATTGCCGGAAAAACTTAAAAAAAAAAACACTTCTATATTCCCATACAAAAGATTCGTAATAATACTTAAAAGTCAATTTGAACTTTAACACCATAATATAAAGTTTAAGTGTTAGTGGAGAGTTTCCGGGAAGGCAAAACAATTGAGTGACGTTAGTATCGTATAAATATTAATGTCAATATTTGTCAATATAATGAACAAAAAAAATTAAAATTTACATGGCTAACGCTGGCTAATCACTATTGATATCTATTTAAAACGTACCTAGCGACAAATCCGAGCGAATCGAGAGTGAGCTGCTAGTATTAGATAAATTTTAAGATGAAAGAAAGTTTATATTATATTTTTAAACATCATATTGTATTATCCTATTACTATTCGTTCTGTATAAGTGTAGTTTAAATAAATTCAAAACTTAAATTGATATAATACCAACACTAAATACGAATGAGGTGAGAAGATGTATATTTTGTAAATTAATTTATATAAAGGCTATTGAAATCCAATTTATCTCGGGAAAGCTAAATTGTATTATTTAATCTGTTTTGTTGATTTCCTTAATTGTTTACAGGAAGTTGATTCTTGTTATAAAATGGTTCACTTTTAAATTAATTTGAGTTTGTTTAAGACTTCTTACATATAACTGATTTTAATGAGTTTATTGGTTTAAAAATATACATTTTTTTTAAATTGTTAAACTATTGAAACGCTAACTTAAATCATAACAAAATTTATTGATTTCATGAAAATGCAGTGAATCCCAAGATTAAATGAAATTAAAGTCGCGATGTAAAGAATGCAATACAAAGAAGATAAATGCACTCGCAAAATGAAGACAGATTACAGACAGATAATTTACACATATACAATGTGTGACATGAACGATGGATCAAAGCTGGCTTGGGAGTCGAGAATCTCAATATCTATCGATTTAACCCCAATTTAAAGACAATACATGCTAAGTTTAGTATAAAATCTGGCTTTCAGTAGGTACTAATTTTTCAAAATCCAAATAACGTTGGAACATCTAAAAATCACTACGTATAGGGGGTTAAATCGATAGGTATTGAGGTCCTGAACGCCTGCAAGCTATGGTTCATCAGTCATGTTCGACACTGTATAATACTAATTTGAAATTGAATAATTTAAACTACATACGTATAGTATACGGTAGTGGTAGTCCAGTGGTAACTCGCTCGCTTGGGAAACCGAGTGAAGGTAGTTCAAATCCCGGCTCTCGCACCTCTGATATTTTCATGTGCTTATCATTTCCAACATGATTACCACTTGTCTTAAGGGTGAAGGAAAACATAGTGAGGAAACCTGCATATTTGAGATAACCTATCAAGTTTTCAAAAGACATGTGAAGTCCGCCAATCCGCACTTGGCCAGCGTGGTGGACTATGGCCTGATTCCCCTCGTACTGAAGAAAGGCCCGTGCCCAGCAGAGGGACGTTAAAAAGGGCTGAATACACAATACATACACACACATGCGTATAATTATTAGTTCCATGCCTATAAAAGTAAGCAATATTGTCGACACTAAATACAACAAAACTTACATAAGTTACAATTTCTAACGTAATCAAGGCCTTTAGATCAACCAGAGGTCATAGGCGAGGGCTTAAAGTTGCCTGCCGTAAGTCCTGGGATTCCCCGTCTTAATTAAACAAGGGATTCATCGGTCGCATTAATTGCTAGATTACGATAAGGACACAGTGACAATTTCGCTACATTTTCTTTTATTTTTATCTAAACTTTCTCTCTTTAGGCGTAGTTAGGGAAAATTTATTTTTCTAAAAATGTAGCTAAAGACATGTTAAGAAAGTTTTTGGTATCTTACACGAGTTAGTTTTCTTTATTGATGTCTAGCAAAATGTAAATAAAATTATCATTATTAAGATTGAACTTTATGCGACATGATCAAAATCTGTCGCAATACAAACGTATTAAATTTAACGTATCAAATTAAAATAATAATTAAAATAAATTAGGTTTAGTGTATAATATACATTATACGGATCATCTATACATATGATAAAATTGTAACTAAGCCGAATCTGTATATTAAATATTTTTTGGAAAATTTTATTGAAATAAACATTATTATCGATACAGAGGCCGAATCTATGGTTTTTAGAATTTTTGTCTGTCTGTCCGTCCGTCCGTCTGTCTGTCTGTCTGTCTGTCTGTTACATGTGTGTTTAGATGACCAAAAACAAAATTCTTAGGTTTTACATATTAGTATACTCTTACATTGCAGTTTTTGTATTTTTTCTCAGGAATGAGACATTTTCCCGCGGTAAAAAGTATCCTATATGTTGACCCGAATAATCAACTATCACCATACCAAATTTCATCTAAATTGGTTTTGTAGATCCAGAGATTACCCCCTACAACGTCACAAACTCACAAACTTTACCTCTTTATAATACTCGTATTAGTATAGATATAACATATTATTTGATAGAAAACATACTGGTTACGGTAGAAGTAACCGTTGATAAGATGTCATTCTACAATCGTTGAAGGCTAGAATCAAAAAAATCTATGAGAATGTCATATTATTATGATTCTATGATTGAACTATTAAATTTGTCATTTCAATACAATTTTCTTGTATTTGTAAACAATTCTATAATATCATTTTGTTTTCTCTTCCTGGCAGCCCCTGGTCTTATTAAGAGTTTACTGGCAGTTGACAACCAATGAACTTTATAAGAATACGAGCAGAGGTCGTAGCCATGGAGCTGTCGTCGATTCTAAACACGTGTGAAAACTTATTCGGACGCCTAGAAGTGGGTAAACATTGAATTTCAATACGCGTAACATTATATACGTAAAGGTCAATCTAATAAAGACGTAATAAAATTCAGATCTTCTGTATATTACTGAATTAGAATTCATTTCTAAACAAAATAGTTAAAAATTAATTTTATTGCTCTATTATTAAATAGAAAAGGTTTAACACCTCCAGGTAAATTTCTAAGAAATTAATTAATTTTCTAAGAAATCTATTGTTAACTGTGATGTTCTCCTGACAGATTCCGGCCTCGGCGGCCAATCTCATTGAGAATAGCCAACTGCGCAGGAGATATTATAGTGCACAAGTGTACGCGCAGACACAACGTGCACTCTCTATTCCTGTCACTCTCATACTCCAGTGGGACGACCGCTCGAAACGAGTGAAACACCGCCAACTTCCCAACTCCGGGCTGTTACTGAAGTTTACTATAGAGAAAGACTCAATAACTAAACTTGGCCCGACCCGGAACTCGAACCCAGGACCTCCGTGGGTGCAGCCGTACATGCTAGCCACTACACCACCGAGGCAGTTATTGTTAATTGTAACGCCGGCGTGTCCGCGGTCTTTGGGGGATTATTACCGTCGTTTACCCATTTTCAGGGGATCGAGTCATGAAGAGATATGATTATTTCTATATAATATATCACATGAGTTACAATATTTAGCAAAATAATAATTATTTTGTTATATGTAATTTCAAGTACCTACTATAGTTTTAATTATAATAAATAAATAAATATCCGCGAAATAATCCGAAAAGATAGTTTTATTTAAAATTTCAATAATTCGCGTAAATCTAAGAAAGTTCAATAATTTTATAAATTTAGATAGCAATCTTGTGTGAAAGTAGAAACAATGATTGATGATGATTTTGATTTTTTCGGATAAATAACAAAGATCTTGCTGGATTGGCATGCATTTTCTTTTCTCCTTTTTTTCGGTATATTCGACAAAAAGCTATAATAGACTACTATCAGTCGACTAATCGGATATAGATCCTACTCGAAATCTGTGGTCAACTACTAAACCGACGTGTAGGCATATTCGCCACCAGGGCATCGTTGTGAATGCTACTAACATTACGCCCCAATAACGAGATAAGGGTTAAGGGTTCCGCTGAGATTGTACAGAAAAGGAGTCCCTAGTCCATATCTACGTGACTTAATTATATTGTGGTGTTAGAGATCCTTTGGTGTGATATATTGAATTACACTTTACCGATTTATTATTTAAATTTTGACTTATGTGACCCATTTGATATTAAATTGTTGATGTTTATTTTGATACAATGTTATTCTGGAGAGCCATAGATGCTTTTAAAAAAAGCCAGCTTGAAAAGGCCTTTTGAATGCCCGCTGCTGAAGAATGCGAGAGGGATCACACTATAGTCTACCATGCTGGCCTAGTGCGGGTTGGGGGACTTCACATGTCTTTCGAAAACTAGTTTGGTTACACATAAAACTAACTCACCGTTGCTTCGCTCGGGTTCGTCCCTACTTGCGTTTTAACGTTTATATATATGTTGACCCGGATAACCAGCTATCATCATACAAAATTTCATCAAAATCTCTCCACTGGTCTCCAATTTTATGATATGTATAGATTAGTTTATTATTATATAATGTATGATAGTTATAAAATTACGTTTATCCTTTGCTCCCTCCCTTGCTGCATGGAAGATGGGTTAACTCATATATAAACAAACACAATTTCAAATTAATAATATTAGTAATGATAAATGTTAAAACTCATCAAAATTTTATTGTTTTGAAGTGTACTTGTAACAAATTACAGCGCGTAGCGACATATGTTAGATCCCTTGGTAAAATGAAAAATTAATTACATGGTTTTTGAGGCCATAAGAAGTTATAAGCGAGATATTTAAGTAGATATAAAAAATGGGTTGTACGTAAAAACGACATATAAATTTTATGACCCAATAAGCTGTTACAACAGATATTTTTATGATTAATCTTAAAAGATGTTTTATAGAACATTTACTTAACAATGGGTGAAACTGGTCCTCAGTATTACACCTTTTATAACAGTTTATTGACAAGAATCTCGATTTTTTGTTTATTTTAAATTGAGTCATTATAATTTTTACTTTTTATTTTTATTACTGTCTTATTTTAACGCGTAATGAAATTTTAAATAGAACTATTTAAAATTTCAATTTCATTTCAAGTTTTGATTTATGATTTACGGAAATTAATCGAATTGAGAATTTACAAGCCTGTCTCTTCATCATGTTTGTAAATAACTAATAATTTACTTATTTATAATACTTATTATATTATATAATCTAATCGCATGTAGAAATAGAGCGATTCATTGTAAATCAGATCCTACAACAAACAAACATTATGAGAGATAAAAATAATAATGTACAATTATATATTATAATTTAATATACAAATGCATGCTTAGGTATGCACACAGAAATATACGTTATGGACAAATCAAGAACATCAATAAATAATTAACATTACTGGGACCGGAGACTTTAGATGTAAGAATGTAGAGATGGATATACATATACATATATGGATGGATGGATATATATATATATATATATATATATATATATATATATATATATATATATACATAGAGAGTTTGGGATAGCTGAAAAGAATATGAGAAGTGGTGGTTATAAAGGAGATACCTAGTGGTTAGCTTTATTTTATATTGTAGGGCTTTGTTGTATACTTTGTTGTACCTACAAAAATTTAGTCTCGGCGAAATTAGTTACGTCAATATTGGTTTTATAGAAAAAAAAAACACCACCTTAAATTATTTTAGTTATGGTATCAATGCACACGTTATGAAACTAGAGATTCATACGTGAAATATGTAGATGAAAAAAAAACGAAAAAATAAAAAATGTGACATTCATTATAATTAGATAGACACACCGCTCTAGGGACTCGATATAAAAAATCATATATATATATATATATATATATATATATATATATATATATATATATATATATATATATATATATATATATATATATATATATATATATATATATATATTTATATATATATATAGGTCATTTGAAAAATCCCAAGCAACCATCCAGTATATATATGTATGTATGTATACTATTTAGGAACTTGCGTGTGATGAGGATAGTTGATAAGGTAGTATTAACTAGGAAACTTCTATGTATGTCAGACCCGTATAAACGGGTAAATTAAATCCATTTATTCTCACTTAAACACACTTTCGCTATTACTACATTGGTAAGAATGTCATTTTTCATTTAAAAATATGTTTTTTTTTGAATAAATCTATACATTTAATAAAATTCTGAGTCGAATCTGTAAATTAAATTTATATTTTGGAAAATTTTATTGAAATCGTCATTATTATCGATACAGAGGCTGAATCTAGAATTTTTAGAATTTTTGTCTCTGTCTGTTTGTCTGTCTAGGAACGCATCATGAGAAAACCACTGGACAGATTTTGATGAAATTTGGTATGATGACAACTGGTTATTCGGGTCAACATGCAGGATATTTTTTATTGCGGGAAAATATCTCATCTCTGAAAAATCTATACTAATCGTTAAAACGTACAAAGAGACGAAATCGAGCGGAATGAGGGCGAGTCGCAATAATAATTATTAGAAAATTAAACACCCGACGTGGGTAATAGGAGGAAATAATCTTCATTTTTTGATAAAAAATAAAATAACAGAAGAGCCTGTTGGCTTAATATTATACCGACATAAAATAAATTAACTTATATTTACTTTTCAATGTTTTTCACTGAAAACGTCTTTATTATACAAAATTACTCGTGTGTTTATATATTTTTATATATTTTTAAAATAACTCTTTATATATTTTTAAATGAAAGCGAATTGAAGAGAATAATAAAACATGTATGTTATCCATACTAATATTAGAAATGTGAAAGTGTTTGTTTGTTTGTTTGTTTGTTTGTTTGTTTGTTTGTTTGTTTGTTTGTTTGTTTGTTTGTTTGTTTGTTTGTTTGTTTGTTTGTCTTCTTTCACGTCGAAGCGGAGTGACGGATTGGCGTGTGGTGATAGTTGGGGGACTGGAGAGTGACATAGGCTACTTTAACCTCGGGAGATCATCTATTTCCCACGGAAAAACACGTATATAATATTAACCAAAAATATTTATGATCAGAATTACTTGAAATTTAGTAATAATGCTCTTCAATAAAATTAAATAAATATGTGTTGTAGCATTTTTCGAAATTCATTCTATAAGGGGGTAAAATAGGGGATGAAAGTTTGTATGAAACTAACTTTTTAGATATTTTTTGTAGTTTTAGCGCGAGCGAAGCCGCGGGTTCTGCTAGTAGGTACGTTATATTTCAAAAGTGCAATTTGATATTTTAAAACTCTTTGTTTCGACAATAGATTTTAGATACAAAATGTGAGTAGGTGGAGGATCAAATAAAAGCTAAAAGGGATTAATGCAGGGATATTTCGTAAATCTTTTAATAGATTTTTTGCTATAGGAGAATTTGACGATTTACCTATTGCACATACTAACGTGTAGAAATCTTCTTTGTAACGGTATTGGTTTAGTATAATGCAAAGTAAGACTGAAATATAATGTCTTTAAAGTTTTATATGTATATACTTATTTTTGAAAATGAAATAAAAATCATTAACAATGATATAAGTTATTTTATATTAGTGAATCCGACTGACGTTGTTCTTTTCAATTTTATTTCTGATCTTTAATAAAAACTTTTTGGATCTCAACAACAGCGTCACCTACCGGATCCAACTATAAAAAGTAAGAACCATACAGGTGACCAACAATTCAAGTGTATTCAGCCCTTTTTTTTAACGTCCCATAACTGGGCACGGGCCTTCGTGCAATAAGTGGCCATAGTCCACCACGCTGGCCAAGTGCGGGTTGGCGAACTTCATATGTCTTTCGAAATCGTGCTAGGTTATCTCAGACATGCAGGTTTCCTCACGATATATTCCTTCACCGTAAGCAAGTGGTAATCATTCAATTAGGGTCTGAAAAGTAGCGGTAGCCCAGTGGTAACGCGCTCGCTTGGGAAGCCGTGTGAAGCGAGTTCAAATCCCGGGTCTCGCACCTCTAATATTTTCATGTGCGAATCATTTCTAACAATTCAAGTACCTACATATATGAAGAAAGTTAACAATATCAGTCGCCGTTTAGAAAAAATATATATAAATAAATTTTTCAAAAATATATGTAGAATTAATGCGATATAATATGAAAGTATTATAAAATAATATTTTCATCTGTAGTGCCAATGTCAGGGTTAATATTGGTTAAATAAATGTATTCATTCGCTAGAAGTCGTGACAGGGAGTAGTGTAGGTAGGCCCTAACGGCACATCGTTTCAGTTGCGAGCGTATCTCCACTGAAGCGGGTCGTATTCGCTTCCAAAGATATGATAACGTATGATAAACTTTAATGTGCTTCGAGGGTAATCTGATGATTAAGTTAAAGTTACACGTGGTTATTTTGTGATCTGTTAAAACTTAGCACTGTGCGGCGGATTGGTTTGAGGTATGGAAATTAAATATTTTGAATAATTTTCATATTATTCATGATTTTTTAATTAATGAATTTTTTAATTTCAC